CCTCAAAAACACCCATAAATGCTGACCTCATGACGTAACGTAGCAGTTCTGGACTCGGGAAACCAGAGCACAAACGAACCAGCCATCATCTGAACTTAACAATAGTAAAACGAATTTAGCTTGAGAATTTAGTGGGCACTGTTGATTAATCTTGATTAGAAACTCGATACAGCAAGTGACAGCTCGGAACTCAACGCGGATATATATATATATATATATATATATATATCACCAGAGACTGACAACTCTTATCTGTTTCTTCAGTTGTTTCTATTGGGGCCGGTGTATACGACACCGGAGGCTTCGTTGGGGAAGTAAATTTCGGTGGTCACCGCGTTCTTGTCAGATGCGAACAAAAGCTGACTACCTGCGGGATTCTATGCGGTCTTTATTAGGATATCATTTGGGAGTGACTCCGACTGCTAACCGCTGAGGTCGGACATCATCGGGTTTCACATTTCATTTATTCCCGTTCAGGTCTGTGGGTTAGCTGCCTTAACACTTTAGATACTCCGATCAAACAGGCCAAAAGTCGGAGTCGCCTTGTGACCCGAAAGAAACGATGGTGCATACAGGTGCAGTCACTACGTCATCCAGATATATCAGTTTACTTTTTTAATGTTTTTCCCTCTAGATAATTCGTTCATGAATGGCGACTGACCTAGCCTGTGTTGGCCACTGACGCGCTGCCACCCATCAGAGGGTACAAGTTATCACTTGATACATTTGGTCTGTTGAGATAAAACTATCACCATCCACCAGAAGTCAGTGTCCACCGGATCAGCACCACTCACATATTCCACATGATCCAAACCAAACGTCCTGTTTTCCAGTTTGACTGTATGTGGCCTCTCATCTTCTAGCAACTCGCCCCTATTCATCATACATGGCTGCCGAGAAACATGAATTTTGTGCGACACTTCGTACATACTCTGCCTAAAATAAGGCAGTGATTAAATCAGTATGATACACTTGGTATATTATGATATTGAGTCAAAGGGAAATCTAGCATGTCCAGGAAAGAGGCAAACAAATAAGACGGGCGACCTGTCTTCTACGGATTCTTGTCAAAGGCAATCAGTAAATAGATTTTCATTAGATGAAGATAGGATACAGCACTTTTGAAAATGTTGATCTGCCATTTGCCACAAGCGGTATCCTAAAATTGACCTCTGTGTCTCAATAGGCTGCACAAATTGCCTTCTAAATCTCACCTAATCACGCGCGCATGTTTTCTGAGAGTTCCCTTGCAAAATCCAGAAGTTCGATATTTTCCCGTGGTTCTCACTCCATGATTTCATTCTCTCTGCCGCAAAATGTCGTAGAAACGCTTCCTGCGTGGGGAAAACATGGGTTCTTGGTTTTCATACACCAAGATCCGCGATTTGTACACTATCAGCCAAACAGCACTGGTGTTGGCACTTCATAAAGTTGTAATGAGCATCCCCTCGGTTAATAGTTTTCGAAGCAACAAGTTTTGACAAGCACCGCAAGGTTGCAAAAACATAGGTTCGGCTACTTTAGTTAATTTGCTATCAGCAAGTGCATGTAGCGATCTACACGCTTCACTGTGACCGTTAATTTTTCCGTTAATAGGAAGAGGCCACAGAGAATTTCTTATTCGGTTTATTATCGTCCAGAGGATCATCATAATCACGGACAGCAATACACAACCGATGCTCAGCTGCCGCACAACCGTTGGTGCTGGCAAAAAGTGAATAAAAGAAAGGGGTGGGAACTTGCTGCGAAATCCCAATGTCCTTAGGAAAAATGACCAGTAGCGAAGATTCTCCTGAAACCATTGGGATAAACACACCGATCCTCATTTTGGAGCAAGACTCCACCGGCATCCTTCGCAGTCCACCTAAAAATTGACGGCCAGCTTGGTATTGGGATCTGTAACGTGCCATGTCTTATGTGGTTTTCAACCACGCGCAACAATCACGTGGATCTCTCCCAAGGAACGCCAGAAAACCCCACAACCCCCAAATTCCAGGAACCGTTTACATCTCACACTGCCACGTCATAGCAGGTCCTCCAATAACATATCGCCGACAAGAATTTGATGTAAAATGGCTATCTGTGGTAATTGGGGGACGATTATATATGTGACAACCACTAAGATCTGATAAGTTCTATCTGCCGCTCAAGTTGATCCATCTCATTACTTATTAATCTCTTACGGAGCTTTTCATTACGTATTGGCTGCAGTCAGTGAAGGCCTGCTATGTAACAAAAACATCGATGACGCCTGTTTAGTAAAGATCTAATGTTATCTTAGGTGATCTCATTATCAGAAGGCATTTTTTGTCTCGTTTTGTAAATCATCAGGTCGGATCTCGGCTGACATCCAACAAATCGTCTGACTGAATTAGATTCGGCGTCGAAGGGAACACGTCCCGCAGTGATGAGGAACAGGGACCGCAGTGAAATTCCGTGGTTATTTCTTGGATCCATATTCGGCTCAAAACTGTAATGACGTTTACGTAGAACTCTTTGATAGCCCACGACCGGTTTCGCTTATCCTGAAGCTCATCAGGTAGGCTAAGTCCCCGAGTTTCCGTCAGGCTTATGTTCAGCTTGAACCCAGATTGCGCGAAGTTCGATAAGTACACTCATTTGCATATCAATTTGACTCTGACCGGAAGACTCGGCTTAATCTTTCGGCTATGATATTCTTCAGATTGCGCGAGATAAGTACACTCACTCACATATCAATTTGACTCTGACCGGAAGACTCGGCTTAATCTTTCGGCTATGATATTCTTCAACTAAACGTGCTGCAGGAAGGCCGCTCGTGTTGCATTTGGTACGCTACTTCCCGTCTCCCGTCAATACCCGATTGATATTTAAATAAGAATATTTGTTGAAGTCTTGCCGATTTGGGTTCAAGTAGAGCACAAGTTTAACGAGACCTCAGGGACTGTGCCTACCTCATAAGCCCCCAGAATGGCGAAATCGGCCGTGAGCTGTCAAAAATTCTTCAACCACCTTGTAGGTAGTTCCCTTTATGACAATACTGTACTACTTACCTGAAAAGACATGGAAGGGTTGTTTTGGTCTCACAGTTTTAAGCTGAATGTGCAACTTAACCGTATCTCATAAGACTATTAAGACAATCTCCTTTTGGTTTCAGAATTGAGAATTTTGCTCAAAACGGTGCTTGATCCTGTACAAATTAAAGACGCTGAACGGATTGGAGCTCTTTTTTCACTGGTGCATTCAGCGCTCTGTACTCAGGTATGGTTCTGTCACACCGCTAAAAGGCTGTATGGCTTCACCTCAGAGTGGCTGATTTCATAGTGTGACTGTGGAACATTGCTTAAAAGCATTTTAGTGCGGTGATGTAAGTCACAAGGCTGCTCAAAACGGTTTACCGAAACTCCCACTTTCATACCGCGTCACTTGTGTGAACGTTTATGATCCCCCATATTCCATCATGGGACCTTCTTTTACCTTACAAATCACTATAATCCAGATTTAGTCGGTGAACAGGAACCACTCAGTTAATTCGTTTGTAAACCGTGAATCATGCAAAATCATGCCACTTATACCTTTTATTATACCGTCCTGACACAGATTACACTTTCTCGTGATTCCAGCTAACTGTACTTCACCGTTAATGCCCATGTCGCAGCGGCGTACCAAATCTACATAACACAAAGCAAGTTGTAGCTACTCGACTTATGGGTTTACTTGGTTTGTTGCTGAAGTAGGCCGAGTGCAACAGCCAGTTAACTGCCATAGAGATTCGCCGGTGAGTGTACTTTTTCCAGAGAGTACACGCTGATGAAAAACAATTTGGTGGCATGTGTCCCTTAAAAGGCTATAGACAGGTGGAAAAGCTTTACCAATCCTATCGTGTGATGGAGCTAACCAAAGAAGCCCAGCTCAGTGCACTTAATTGGAATAACTCTGGATACAGTTCGCCCTGTCGTTTAAGCTACAGGAACGCGCATTGGTATGTATTGAGTTATAGGAAGTGCTACAGCAAAACCTCCTGAAAAAAGGACATCCCCGATTGAATTCGTTTTTCTTCCCTACTGGGGGCCCCGACTGTATGCGCTTCCTTGTTTCTGTCCTTCTTTGGAGTTTGGACGTCGCATTTTAGAATGCTCAGGATTGCAAAAGAGGTTATTGGATTTCAAAAGTCAGATAGTTTGGATGAAACTGAACAAGACAGAAGTAGGACACAACGTCACGTATGGTATGATGTCAAGTTTTAGTATTAACAACTGGTTTTATTGTCTTTAGAGAAGCTGATTTCTAGCGCAACCGATAATCAAACCCGAATGAGAGAATAACTTGACTACTTTCCACATCTACGCTCATAAAATTTTATGTTACTAATTTCTTTTAGTTGCTTGAACATCATCAGTGGTTCGCGGGTTGCAAATTAGAGAGGTACCACATCAGCCAATCACTGCCAATAATTACAACCGCACTGTTGAGCACAAAAACGACCGCAGAAGCCGAAAGGTCACTCGAAAGTATAAAGAATACTGAAGTGAAATCCTTCATAATCAACCAGTTGTTACAACAGGATTTTACGGGGATCCAATCCGCAGTAGATGTGCTCCGAGACGGGAGAAAAGGCAAGTGGATTTGGACAATGACTGACCGACAGTCACTTGCCAATTATCCCTTTAGCAAATTTAGTTTTTTTCGTTACCGACTGGACATATTTAGGGCTAGTTAATCTCCGCTTACCAACTCTCAAAGATCTCTCTTTATTGAGTGCAAAACGTATCACATTTACTGTCTAAGATAACAGGGATAAACAAATTCACATGTTCACGCTGGAGAGTTCTTTGCGAGTGACGATGGAAACATTTCTTGACGAGATTTGGGTGTTCGACAGAATGTAATATCGAAAAACAACTTCTGTGTTAAATGACGCTATGAAAATACCTTATTCTAGACAAATATGGGAACGACCTGAAGAAGTGTGCCCTGTTTCAGCACACCCTACTAAAACCAGTCATCCAGAAATCCAAATACATTCACCGATATGATATCATTTATGATGTCAACTGAGACTACCCTCAACATAGTTCATCCTTTTCGTAGATTGTGGAGCAGATCCTCGACTTTTTAACAACTTTCTTCTTATTTGAACTTATATGGACATGCGTATGTACATATATATATATATATATATACAAATATATATATATATATATATATGTATGAAGACTAAGACAGTGTTAACAGGATGCTCAAATGAACTGTTCCGACCAAGAGATCCCATCAAACTTATACCGAAGTGCTGTCCTGGCCGTCTTATGAGAAAACATACCACGGCGTTAGGTTAAAAAGAGTTTTCATTTTGTTATGAAAACAAAACATTTAACTAAAGGTTTCCTACACTGGATATCAGACCCGCTGAACTGAACTGTTGCTAAACCGCTGACATTTGGGGCACACAGGGCCCAAACGATTGCCAACCATCACAAAAGCAAGTTAGCTTGCAATATGAGTCGGTGCACTTATTCATCCATCTGAAGTTTCGGGGGTTACTAGTACGACTGAATCACAAGCACATGAGTTGACCCCTGTTCATGCGTGAACAAACGGATGTCATGACTGACAAAGAAGCAGAGGCAGTGTCTCATTCCACTCTGTTCGGAACAGGTGGTCACACAGACTGAAGCTCTTCGAGGCACTAATGAATAAAGGGTTCGAGACATTGTATGTGGCCAGAAACGCTTGATGGTTGCTGCCACGTTTATACTCGTTGGTCAACTTGCTCTCTTGATCTGTTTGTATCATTTTAGCCTGATTTACATGGACTGCAGCAGTTAAGAAGTAGCGTTTTTATTCTGCACGGTGTTGTTCCCGTTCCAGCTATCACAATGACTAATCAGTAATCATCGGGATGTCTTGACTTATGTATGCTCTTCAGAGTAATGGAATACCACTCGAAGATAGATGTGGTACTCTCCTTTACATGATACGTCTACTGAGGTTGCACACAAATGTCAGAATGTCGACTAAAGTCTCATGGAAATGGAATACAGAATTGCATATCATTCTTGCGAATTTTCCTTATACGGTTATTCACATGTGAAGATAACATCTCCCATAAGACCCCGCTTTTAGTCAATCCACCGATGACATCCCACTCAGAATAATTGCTCCTGCCTAATTAGGCAATCAAACTTATGCTACCTTCCTCACATAAATGTACAAATTAGTAAGGCAATCTTTCTCGCGGCCATCAACTCTGTCAATCTTCTACCACACAACCGTGAAGATGGTCACTTAACAGAATGTATTCAGTTAGGTGACGGTCTGAATTGGTGGTGTTCTATGTTGCTGACTCTGCCTACTTATATCGATCAGCTAAGATGCTCACACTCAGAAATCAGGCATCAGACTATACACATCCTCCAATCGGTCGGTCAGATTATCGCTCAACAAAACGAGTGCTTTTGCTGTTTGTTCAGACCAACATACAGTCAATTCTCAGGCAGTGGCTCGTCTATCTGACTCGCCCGCACCGAATTACAACACGGCCATCAGCCCTATGTATTGGATATGTTTCAATGTGCCATCGCATCGTTTTGTCCAGTGTTTTGATTGAGATTTGGATGAAGCGGTAACTCTTATTTAATGTCACAGATATTCACTTCGAATGATATCTTTTCATTACCTTCTTAGAAGAGAATGAAAATATCCCGCATGAAAACGACAGAGTACAACAATATGCAACAGGTGAGCGCTAGCTTATCCGTTATTTAAACGTTTGATATTCACTCACCAAACAAGCGTTAGGCGTAAGACCATTTCCTTGACTCTCATTCTTCCAGAGATGAGACTCTATGTTCAAGTTGAAGGTGATGCAATTATGTCTCGCGATGGTGACATTTGCCAAGAAGCAATTGATGTGCTTAGGACAGATCTGGAGGCCCAGGCAAGTCCTCAACATAATCTGTAAAAGATCACTATATACCGTTTTTGTTTTGTCAAAATTTTCAAAACGGGTTAATGCCATAACATTCATTCAACTAGTTTTTTCCCTGTGCGTTCCTACTGTTACCAGTCGACATGAAAGTGGAAGCAGCACTCTGGTTTTCATTAAAAAAAAAATAACTTTGTTCTACCCATAGTTTGAATCATAGTCTTCTTGCAAGTAAGCCAGAAATGCGTGGCTGTTACTTTACTAGCGAAACAATGAATGGACGTTCAAATCAGAAGCCCATAAAAATTAACCCACATAACTCCATTTTATCGAGATCTTCACTGTCGGGGTGTCCGATACTTAACCTTGCTTTTGATCTGAAAACAGTCATTATACAGCGGGGGACGATTCCTGCTTTTTGAAAAGCCTACAAGTCTCACAAATGGGCACCTTTATAATTTTGAGAGAGATTACTTTGAAATGGTTTTGACAAGTAGAGACGAAATTTAGAAAAAAGTGATTCTGTATCGGATAACAATCCTCCACCGAAATGACTACCTAAGATGTGTTATTTGGTTTTCCAAACTTGTTCAAAATGCCCCCAGCTCGTGAAAGTTTTTTCTGAAACGAAAAAAATCAACTTCAAACATTTCGTATGTAACCTTGTGTGAAGTTTTCAGTTTGCTTGTTATAATAATGATTCAAACACTGGATGACGGCACTGGAACCCCTAGAAATGAACAGCCCTGTTTAGCTTGCCGTTTCATAGGTGTCGCCCCTTTGGAACGACACATTTTGCTCGGTTCTGTAGAATTCCGTAAGCTATATGGAATGAATGCCGATTTCCAAGTTTGCACCGGCATAGGAAACCTGGTCTTTACTCATTCTTCGATAAACCTAGACAATGAATAAGAATGGTGCAGTAGAATAAAGTCGAAATTTTGGACAACTTTTGAGGTACAATGGGCAATACAGCGTCCATCCTTCAAAGCAATCATAGAGGAAAGCAGTTGCCTCGGGACTGAGCAAATACGTTTGAGAACAGCCAAAAATAGCTATGCAATGGATCTATCGAAATGTCTAGAGAAAAATGGCTGCAGGCGCAGGACCTACTCTTAGACAGGTCAAAAGTGTACTTCAAGGGAGGGATATCACTTGCAGCTTAGGTGAAAGCCCCCTTCCCTGAGTTGCGCTCTTTAAACAGGCCTGCCTGTGTTCACTGACAGGAGAGGGTACATACTGATGGTTTATCAGAATAGAACTAGGTTTTAGTTAATCTGGTATCCGCACTTCCTTGTGAACGTTGAAGTAGCTAACTTTTATTATCTAACTGAGACGTGGGCATCTGACGATGATTTAGCGATAAAAGGCTAGGATATAAATAACACCAGGATACACGTGTACTGTCCCAGCACATTGTTGTACTGCATCAAATGTACCCACGAAAACTCATGGATTCCAGCTATTGAATAATCACCAAGCTCTTTTTTCTCTCTGCGTTCTATTTCCCCGTGCTAAACTTTAGAGACATGCTAACGGTACTGTTTAATTTATGCAAGAGACAGGCTAATTTACTATTGCTTCAATGAAAAATGGACATCTCTTGCATCTTAACAGCATTTATATTCCATGAACATGAGCATAATTAATAAAGGGCTACCCTTTGGATGGGTAGGTTTTGTGGTGTAGAGAATCTGACCACCACATTCAAGCCGCCAGTTCACCGGCACATAGATCAGGTATGACAGGGTCCGTTAGTTAGACCTCTGTCACTATTACACATGTGATTCATGCAGTCCTGCGTATTTGGACTGTGCCTGAAGTTACCCAAAACTAGGTATGATATTTACGACCTACATGAAAATAACTTGATTGTTGCGTAATCCTTATGCGTTGTGATCAGAATTTTCCAGCCCTCATTGTCAACATGACTGAAAATATTTAGCAGAGGAAGAACACCAATAATGTTCTCGTTCAGGTGTCACACGATGTCCTTTTGATGAGGTATATATGTATACATGTGTGTATATAGACACTCCTTTTAACTATAAGAATAAAGCATAGTTGGGGAATTTATTCATACCAGCACTACCTGTGAGGATCATTAACTTAGTTAGGGACCTTCGAGTATCAAGAAAAAAAACCTCACCTGGGGGCGAATTAAGCGAAAAGTCACGGGGATTTCTTGTAAGCTTTCGAATTTTTTATACGGTACCAAAAGTTAAAGTGTAAAACAGACAGAGCTGAAGACACTTTGAGGATTGGTCGGGTTTCGTCAACAAATGATTGTTAATTCCTGTATGTTTAGAGCTTGCGCCTGAATTTTGAGAAGTCTTCATTACCACTCGGATGGATAATTCATTTCCACACTCATCTGGTGTGAAATTTGAGCTGAAGCAGTCTTGTTCATGATGTTCTTTAACCAAATATGTGAGGCCACGTCCGAAATGTTGCAATTTTATATGGAACCTTCGAGGAATCCCGTCCTGGATGTCATTTAGAGGTATTTTTCAACCATTAAGTCAGTTCGCTAATAAAGCCCTCCTTGATGAAACTTCCTTGCCCTACCATGTTTTATCTTTGATACGACGCTACTCGGAGACTTGGTAGAAACTTCGGACAATCCATCACCGATTTCATCCTTTTTGAGGTTCACCCGTCAAGTCCGTTAAATGAACATCAATCGTTTGAACAGTCTGAATGATTAATGTAGTACCGATCAGCTGAGGCATTCGTCGGATAGCCAACGATGTTCACAATTTGGCACATTAGAGGACTAAAATAACGAAATCACTGTTCATCCCCTTATATGAACCGAAAGGTCACACTGAATGTCAGACAACCCCTCTGTGAGTTTTGCTTGCCAAAGTGGACAGATTCTGTCTGTTAAACCCATTACAAGGTAGCTAAATAGTCATGATTAATGGTCTATTTCAACTCGTCCCCAAGGTGAAAATGTATGGATAGTTTTATTCCCCAATGCTACAATTAAAGTTCCGCTAAAATGTGACGGTTCTCCGGAGCTTCTTTAGAAGGCCATGGCTTGAACAAGACAGCCATTTTACCAGTCGCCATCAGAAAGGACTTTATACACAGGAAAGAACCCTTTTAACACATTTCTTATCGTATTCTGATGGGTTTCCTGCTTGCTGCTGGTGAACTGTGGCAAATCGCCGTTTGTGAAATTTATTTATCGAAGAGTTTATTACGTATTGCAATGTCGTTTATTGCACAGGAGCACTGTAGCTAAGTCCATCAGATCTAAGCTGAATCATTTTGACCCTTCCTTTTAAAGTTAACCGCAACCATGGCAGAAAGAGGTCATCAGGTGAACGTTGTCTATCAAACCGTGCTCAACTACGATCACCGCAAAGTTGTCAAATTCCTGGTTTATCACGTATCAATAATACCAACGTTGGAAATTGCGTTTCCCGAGAAATGGAAGGTGGGACTTCAAGGCGTTATCGATTCACTTGGTTTGGCAAACTCTCATGTGACGAACTTCCAGGTTCCTTTGTTTCATGATCAAAGTGAGTTTCTAAAATCTGTATCTCAATAAGCCGCACGTGAAATTCACTCAGCTATTTAAGTGTGGAGCTGTCCTTATCTAGTCAGATGACTTGTTTTTAACTGTTTAACTCTGAGGTTGAGACCTAAAGGTTTGCTCTGCTTTTTCGTTGACTCGGTTAATTAGCGCTGAGATTATGAGTTTTCAAAAGGACAACTGTTGCAATGACCCCTATGTAAACAGAATGCTAGTATAACCGACTATTGTAGTCTCTCTTAACAGAACATCGCTAAGAGTTCTAAAACACTGGTCATCTGTAAAGGATTGGTTTATTCATTTTTAAGTTATTTTCGAAGTTCCTCAACCATGTTCTAAATATTTAGGGCGAACCAAGGTCAGCAAAATTTGAAATGAGTGCAAACAGTTTCACAAACTGAATAATTCTGTGTGCGGTTGAAATGATAAGGTTTCAACAACGTTGGTCCACTTCTGACTTTGTTGTGACTTTTTCGAAAATATAAACGTCATATCCTTTCTAATTTGTGAGAACGGGCAGCCGAGAATATTTTCTTAGCTCCCATGTTGTTTGCTTTATTGTGTTGTGCTATCTGGTATTTCTATTTTTGTTCGCTAATGTAAGGTACCTAAATAATATGGAATACTTTGAAGCTGTCGGCATCCATTCCACAGTGGCCTCTGTTTGACATGATATCGAAGATTACTACCGGTCCACCCGTTTGTTTTTCTGAAGCAGAATATTGCTAACAGTTCTACTCAGTAATTCTCGATGGCGGCCAGTACTGAACTGCAGCCAAGGGGCAAAACTAAGCTTCAAATAGGGTCGCCGCAGTTTTTTATTTTGCGAATGCCAAATACGGGCGTCTGTTTCATTCATTGTTGTTTGCTGAGTGGAAACTACCAGGGGTCACAAAGTTGTAACGTTTACCTTGAAAATTGATAAACGATGTAGTTCAGATATTCCGGGCAGTCTAAAGCAGCTTGGATAACAAGAACAATCAATTATAAGCAATTTTCTGTTGATCAAGCTTCCTTCCGTACTTGTGTTACCTTGTCAAGGGGGCTCAACAACAACAAATATTGCCCTTACGTGGAGAATCTCCTTTGAAAGGAGAATTACCGTACCAACAGCTAGTTGTTCACCTCCCTTCATCCGAGCAATTGGAAGCAGTAGCGCTAGGTGTACAAAAATAATTTTCAACATTAGCCATCTTTTAGATGGAGGTAATTTTTCGACGCAGTTTTTCCCTCATCAATCATACACTTTCGTTCCGTTCTTGAGGTTCTCTGTTGGGAGCTATATTTTTCACCTACTTGATCGGGTTCATCTTCTTCCGAGCATGTAAAAACAGAACGCTGTAATCGAATTTAAGAGATATTTACTTGTTTCTAAAAGGGAAAGTGTAAACCAGCATGATTGTTCTTTTCAGATGATCCACGCTTCTTGAGTGAGTTTCACTGTCTTTTTTATTTATTTCGCGTCTGAATGATTGTGTCAAGCTAGCACTAAGTCCCTACCCCATCCGTCCTTATTCTTTTCTTTACAATAAGGCTTTCAAACAAGTCATGGTTGTACGGCAGTGAAGCATCGGTGTTGAACACTGATGTCATGCTGTCGATGATGATGATGATGATGATGATGATGATGATGTAGTTTGCCATAATGGACTTGTTTTCTGACTGCGGCCTCCGTTTAAAATATATGAGCAGTGAGCTTGGAATCCAACCGATATGTTTGAATCACAAGAATCGTGTGGAAGGCCAGCATATTGGTTTTTGGAGAAATAAGGCCATCAGGTATCAACCCACAGACATTCGTAGGGTTGAGAATATTTTCGGTCTTAGTTCTATGAACTAATGACCTTCATCACGTTCATTGACAGGAGAACAACTGTCAGTATGTTGGTCATTGGTATCATCCAGAACGTCTACATGAAAATCAGCAAAGGGATCCTCGCCTTCCAGGGTAACTTCTAAGTCTGTTGAGATTGATGCAGATCAGCCGAATCGGTTATACAAACATGATTTATTGAACGAATAACGTTGTTAACCCCACTTTTGAGGCGATCAATCTGAACGCATTTGTTACTTTATCAATATACGAGTGATTTGTTGACGTTCTTCAAACCGTCATTCATACCACTGCAGGTGAGGGGAATATGCATTCAGAACCAGTTGGCTCGTTGCATCCTAGACAAAACCTCATCTTTCAGGGCCGACATTCCTGTCTACGGGACAAATGTGTCTTCCAGTCAAAATGACCTAGCCCTTCAAAGCAGACTATCTTTGTTACTACGCCATGCAATTGTCCGCTTTTGGCTTTGAATGACCACTAACTGCTTAACTTGGTCAAGAGTGCAGCCTCAAATTCGGTAATTAGATTAGTTTGGTGTTTATGATAAAAATTCGTTTAAAACCGTCTCGTGACCGTCTCTGGGCTAACATCCTACGTGATAAATTGACGTGTAGACGACAAGTGCTTACTCGGTGGGAGCAAGCCCCGACATATCCATAGTAAGGTATTCTGCGTTACAAGGTAGGAACTTTAGGATACTAGATAGAACGTTATTGTATAAACCCGGGATCCTAACGAATTTATGCTATTCCGGGATAATCTAATGTAAGGAGGCAGAAATCATTAAGTCCTGATTACATTCGATTTATGTAGGAAATGTCAGCTAAGTGGACTTATTCGAGGATATGTTTGGTCCCAGTCATATCACAAGACACAAAATTTAGAAAAACAATTTCAGAAGATTTCTTGAACAAAATAAACAACTTTTCAAACAGCACTGCAGTTACAACTGAAGAACGAGTTAAGGGAGTCGCAGAACCCAAAATGCAAAATTCCTTTTTCAGTAGGTTCACTGATAACATTCATGTCGAGATCATGGTAAGTGAACGGTTGCGGAAGTTACCAAAATCTCGCTCATCTCGATTCTCTTTAAACTTCTCTTTTCCTCACTATCATCATTATCAGTGTTATTATAAAGCAAATCATCGCATGTCTATAGTTTAATCTGAAAAATACTGCAAATTCTGTCTTTTCAGAAATCGAGTTAGACGTTTTTGACCCTAACTTCCAGCAACAGCAATTACCGAGTTTCCGAGAATGCTCTATTGTAAGCTCCTTTTCGATGAACGCTTTATTATTTCGCTTTAATCGTAAAATATCTTCCTAATGACGATTAATGATGACAGATGGGATTCTAGAAAGGCGGTTCATTTGTAAAAACATAAAATACTCGCAAATATGTTCTTGATAAGAACGGGGACAAAACATGCAACGAGATGTTGGCGTTCACTGTACTTTCTTCAATCTTCAGAAAACAGTATGTATTTATGGGCTTGGGTCGTGGAAATACTTATTAAAAAGATATGTAAACCAATTCAAAGTACATTTGGTGATCACAGATTACTGTCATAGTTTTTAGTCAGTATTATTTGAGCGTGTAAAACTGACTGCTCCTGACTAGCCAGAACTGCCTCACGAAATGCTGATTTACTGGCCTTACAGTAGTTCAAGTGGATTTTTAATCTGCGATCCACTGAGCGACATGTAGTCAGGAGACGTTTTGCTGTCAGTGAGGATAACTGGCTGACGACTTGGCGACTACTGTCTTCTGTCTGCATAAATTACACAGAAACAGTCGCTCTTTGTAGGAGGTAGAGTTTCTTTCTGACAATATGTTACTACAAGTTCAGGTGAACTGGTAAATTAGCCTTGTTTCCTTTTTTAGTCTTCGTAGACGGCGAGTTTGAGGAGTGAATCTAGCAGCGAACAATACAGCACATATCGCAATTTCGGCAGTGATACAATGAAACACTAAACCTATAAAGCAATGAGATCTTCAAAAAGGACAACTCTTTTACCAATTCATAAAAATTAACAAAATACTCTTTGAAAGGACCCTACTCTGCGAACGTCGTTTGAACGGATACCATGAACGCAGCTTTTGTTCCATTCTTGTGAATGATATTATCTACTGAAACATCTTTAATCTGTATGGCAGACTTATGTGAACACTTTTACACAATAAGGATAATCTATCGCGATAATGTAGCATCACTGTGACAAGGATTGGTTAGATCAGGTTAAACCAGTCCACGCAAACAAATGAGACTACAACTTTGTCGTCCGTACATGCTGCATATAAAGCATTTGGCTATTCTTATCATAAGGGTTCATAGTCTGCCGTTAATCAAGAGTGATCCATTTGGGATGGAATACCACCACTTGGAAGCAAGAAAACTGGCAGTCTCAACAAAATTAAACCAGCAGCGCCCTTGATTTGGTCCGGCAAAATAAAGAACACGAAAAATGACTTGATCACCGTGAAACGGATTCCAACGTTTCAGTCCTCTGGTCACCAGCTTCTCGAGGCCGGGCAGACATTCAGACCACGTTCAGGTTGTTTCAAAGGAGTTTAATCATTCACCAACTAACAACAAGCAACCAACAAGCAAAAACTAATCAACACGGTAATCAAAGTTGACAACACGTTGTCAAATTCGGATTTCAAGATGTGGAACTTGGACTGTCGTTCGACTAATCAGTGGTAGAGGCAGTACATGCTGTTCCCATGAGACATCGCAAGTTTTCAATAACCTGGGTAGAGCGTACGTATGCCAAATGACGTTATACTAACTAGAATGAACGTCTTCAAGGCCCCCTTAGAATCTGAGCATACTGTTCAGTAAGACTGCCTGTTTGGCCCCTCCTCCGGGAAATACCTTCAGTAGTTGGGTCAATCCAGCGATTCGGAGTATTTTGACCTCAATTTGCTGCAACCCTATTCTATTTTAAGGTATGATAGCTCTGTTTTATCAGATAGTAGTTGGTCATTAACTGACCGATCTCTCATAATAAACTCAGTCTTTTAGATCCACAGATCCTTCTTGCCTGTTCAGCGAACCAAACTTTTTGTTTCACAAGAGATGTCTCTTTATGAGACATCGCTTGAATAGACGGAACAGAACCAGACCTTGTGAGAAACAGTTTGCAACGGAAGGGATTTAATCCATAAAGGAAGAACTGTTTTTACTTGCGATGACTGCTCTCAAGATGGGTGGCTGTTTGAGAAGAACCACCTCAAGTCAATTTCTTTATGAATCAAGAGTTAATCTTGTGGGTAAAGCCATTCTGCATCACAAAACAGAGTAACACTGCGCAGCTATTTCGTTTTTACGAACAGTCATCAGTACAGCAAACCTCAAAAACATCCGGGGAATTTCAAACCCACGGGTTGACGAATTATAGTTCAGCCACAAGGAGCCCTCCAGTAGTGTGACCAAATCGTACAGAGGTCATTTTGAGCATAGTTTATTATCGTTTTCCGTCGCAAAGCCGAAAACCTTTGTTAGTCTTTTGATGTCTATCAAAAACCGAAGTGGAAAACAGGTGGATTTTCAAAACACTTATCAGAAGAATGGTTCCTTTTATGGATGCCCTGTATCAGTAGAGTACTTGTAGTTTCAGATTCCGAAGAATACATCCCTTCTAAGGTTCAGAATGATACAAAATTCTTGCGTGTACGCAATGTGACAGTATTGTCTAAATCCTTTATTGTGTTAGTATTTGCTCTCCGGGTAAAGTTCTTATGTGACAACATATGGAGGAGTGGCCCGCACGCCCATATAGAACTCAGAAATAATCAATTCGGTTGTTCTCTTGACGTCCGTTTTGACGTTTCGGACACATACAGAGTAAGGAAAACTTGTGGCCAGCGTTTCAAAGTGCTCCCTCAAGAGAGTGATGCTAAAGTAGTGTCATTCAGACAAACTTTCTGTTTTAAGGCCCACAGTGCCTTCGCGAACAATCTCACCTGTGATGTGGATGTTCACAATATTTACTGTTTATTTATCAGTTTCGGAATATGAAAATTCCAAATGTAAATTTTTTCAAACTGATCTTTGTTAGGAGTGCATCCAGGTCAAGAGAGAAAAGGTAACTTTCAAAGGTTATGGCTGATTTTCGTTTGAAATTGGGTCTGAACCCTCATCTCAAACCAAATCCTAGGGTATCTTACAAAAATAGGCCATTTTGCGGGGTGGTTTTCTAACTTGGGGGGAATTCTATTTGTCACAGTCGGCTCTTTTTTTCTGCTGAACGGCCCAACTTGATCTTTTGTTCCAGTTAAAACACCTGTTGCCTGCTCTCGTACTCGGGGAATTTCACTGTTTCCCGTACACTCACGTATATGGATACAACGACGGGTTGTTCAGCCGAGTAAAAGCATTTGTGCCCAAAACTTCCATTCAAACACCGCGAAGCTCTGAATATTCCGATTTGGCATTGGTGGAACTCTTCAAGTCCACTTGGAGCGAGTTAAGCTTCTCGCTGTATACACATAAAGACGAACCCACCTACGGTAAGGATTGGTCCAGTTGTTAGAATCTTATACGTCGTATGGTTCAACCGACATTTTGTTAGTTCGGAACTGTTTTTAAGGGATTAGGTGACAGCTTACGGTAAGTAAGAAGCAGCATAAAGCTGATCGATCTGGGTAGATAGAAGTCGGAGTTGAGAATGTACTGCAATCCTTGAGGTATGGCGTTTTTGTTGACTTTTTGACGCTTACCCCATGCAAATAATTCATTTTGTACCTACCTTTGACAGAACTGCCGTGTCCATAAACGAGTAGCTTACTTTATGTCGAAGCAAGTGCGTCGTCACCAAAGCAAGTGGATACTTATTGACGCTTTAAAGTGTCCAGGAAATTCCCGTGGTTTCTATGGAGGCCAACAAGATGTGATGCGTTTTACACCAGCGTACGAATGGATATCTTGAATTGCTTACCTCACTGTGAATTGACGGAAGTATCCGGATGTGCAAACTATATGGAATTTCCTTGATTCATAAAGAGTTCACATACTGGCTTTGAGCAACAATAGTTCCTTGTTCTGAGACCAACTTTCTCAGTAAATGGCAGAAAGATAGTGGGTATTCTACTTAAAACGAAAGTTACAATATTCTGCTTAGGCATTTGATTCCCCTAACTGCATTTTACAGGCCTTTTGATCTTACGAGATGAAAACCTTGCGGAACCTAATGCACTTTTTATAACCGGAAACAACGTTCGTTACGATGTAACGTTCGTCGGGACATGAATGCATCAGGATCGTGTTACATTTCACCGTCACTCAAATTCCATGCAACCTTCCACCTTTGCTGGCTCTTACGCCACTGGAGAATCTTCCTCCTAGGCGGTGATTCTCAACCAAAGATATGAAGTAGGTCGAGTAAGGCGGAGATTCAGCTAACTTAACTGATTAATTCAGAACGAAGTACGCTAGTTGTCTACGAAACTCAAAGGGAGGATCTCCAGCTGATTTATTGGACACTGATCAAAGAGTACAAATACTTAACCAAGCACATTAATAGTGGGGGAAAACAGTCGGCGAAATGTGACCTGTCTAAGAGGCCTGTCCACGTTCGGTTACCGATGCGGATAAATTCATTGAGAGGCCTTCCCTAAGCAGAACTGACGGTTCCAAACGATACTTAAGGCACGCATGTCATTGCTGATGGTGGAATAACTATCCCATATGCGATATTTTGGTGTTAGTAGATCCTGCATTACTCACAAATCACTGATGTTGACTGGTCTAAAATAACCCAAAAATACCAACGAGGAGCTCAGTGTGCTACAAATATAACGTACGCTGTTCTTGGCAAGTAACCTAGTAAACTATCGTGTCCTGTAATTGAAATGCAAACACGTATTTCGATTTTATCCACCTTTAGGTTGGACTAGTGAGAGAAGCATCCCAACCTGATGTGTTGACATTTTGTCAATCAGAGAAAATAGTTAGATACAATAAAAAAGAATGGTTTGATGCTTTAATCAGAATTCGAAAGCAAAGTTGCAAGCCAAACTCCACTCTACGAAGCACCTCGAATGAACATGCATGCTATGATAGTTCGTGTGGATGACCAGCAGCGTGAACAAGGAAAATTCCGGACAGTTTAGTATTTTTCTAGTGTTAGTATTAGTATTAGTATCGCTTGCATTCACCCCAATCAGCTACATCCACGCCGGTAAACAACATGGGGGACTTGGTATCCCAAGTCTGAGTGCAACAATCCCGATGCAGCGGAAGACGCGTATGGAAAAGCTCCTCTCTACTCAGTGCCGAGTACTACGCAATGTGGTCAACGATTCCGCATTCAGCAAAATTGTTCGGGATCTCAGCCTTCCGATCCGAGTCCATGGAGCATGCGTAAACACCAAGGAGGAGCTGGTGGCTGCTTGGGGTGAAAGTCTGCACAACAGCGCTGACGGTCGCGGTTTACGAGAGTTGGTCACTTCGCCTCTGTCGAATCGATGGCTCGTTTTCCCAGAACGAGTGTTTCCACGGATATTTATCCGGGGTATCCAGCTCCGATGCAACCTGCTTAGGACGAGAGTTAGAAGCGCTCGGCATGGTCATGGTGGCCAGACGATCTTATGTCGTGGAAACTGTGGCCAAC